GAATACCCCTCGTTTCAGGTCTATAACTGATAAAAATCACGTGCGCCATCACGTGCAGATGCGACCTCTGGACATGCCTAGTACGTAATTAAAACTTTCGCTTTAAGTAACTGCAGTGTAGCCAGTGTTTAATATAACGTTTAACAATAAAATATTTCATGTATTTACGTTCATTTGTTCTTTAATTTGTTGTTTCTTTGACTATTGATATATAATAAAACACTTATTTACTGAGACCTCGGGAAAGCAGTGTGTTTTGTGGACCCTCGACGGTCGAGGGTCCACAAAACACACTGTTTCCCTCGGTCTCAGTAATTAAGTGATAAGTATTAATAGTATTAATAATGTCTTTAATTCATCAAATAAAAATACATATCAGATGTTACATTGTTCTAAATATTAATCTCTTAAAACAGCTGTTCTTGGAACCTTCTGTATTTATCCTTGGTCTTTGACTTGAGCGATTTCTGAGGTGCACAGATGTTTCTTTGTTGTACATAGGAAGAAGGTCATAATAACGAATGGTTTTTGTCTGTATCACATTTGTTAAAAAGTCGGATAATGATGGATAATGTTTAAATATTGGCTGATTTTGGATCGAGTTTGACCATAGCCTATAAAAGGGGAGATGGCTGTGAAATCATTAGAATAACAATATAACTCATTATCTCTGTTGGTCAACGTTTATTCATAAATCTGGTCCTTCACCATCACGTGTGTATTAGTAACTAACCAACTAACCAATAGGAATGTTTTAGGAAAGTCACCTATCCGTGACACGAACATGGGAAAACTGGAAATTGCTATTGGTGGATTTCGTAAAAATACAATACACATGTGACGGTGAAAGGACCAGATTTACGAATAAGCGTTGACTAATAGAGATAATAAAGTTATATTGTTATTCTAATGAGTTTCACAGCCATCTCCCTTCGATAGGCCTGGTTTGACCTTGTATAAAATTTTCACTCAATATTGCGCAACCGTGTTGGTACCCTATAGGTTCAGAGGTTTTCTGGTGTACCGCCTGAGAGCGGGGGATACAGGTTCAGTGAAACAGAAAACCCCCTGAACTGATCCAGGGTACCGTGTTGGACGAAAAATGCTGGACGATGTTCGACTCGTTTCAATTAACAGAGCTTTAGTGCTGCACGGCTATACTTTAATAAAATCTTAAAGAAACAAATAATTTAATAAATGACATTGGGAGTTTAAAACACTGACAATTCAAAGAATATAAATTTATATGCATAAAAGAAAGACTATTGTTTGTCGGGTTGAAGTGGTTCTTATATAACAGGTACTTATAGTAAGAAATTAGGTTCAAGTGGTCCTTTTATAACGCCATGGTACATAATTATATTGAGAAATCAGACCAAGTTGGTTCTTAACTAGCCTGCGAATACAGACGCCTCACATCGATGTGAGGCGTCTGTATTCGCAAGCTAGTTCTTAACTGGTTCTCATTTTTAGTGAAAAACAAATTTTCCTAGTTTAGTGTTTTAAATGATTTGTTAAAATGGAAAGGTAGTCCTTTCACATCCTCTTTACACAAGGCTTACACAAGGCATGGCAATAAAAGTCTCTTTTGAAAGAACTTTTAAATTTATAGGGGAAACGTTTTGCAGCATTTTCAAATGTTGCTTAGTTCTCGTAATATTTTCACCACAATATCATCATAAGTCTGAATTGTCCACCATCTTGAATTATTGTGGATATGCTCGTTACATCACAAGCAAGGTCATGTAAGTATTTTACACAGATATGCAATGGTCATTATGAACCCAATATTATACTTCAGTCACTCTGCACCATAGATATATCTATATATACACTAGATAGTGCATCCAATTATTCTGCAATTCAAAAATTGAAGCCGTGATTGCAGACTCAGGTATGCAGGTATGCAGATTCTTTTTTTTTTATTTCTTGTTTTCCTTGTGTAAGTTAAACCTATTCCAAATACATTTTTAAACTATTCAAATGATGAAAGTTATTCTTGTTTTTAAGCGTTTATTAGCGAGTGGGAACTACCAACATGGCCGCCATCTATTCAAATGGGGGTAACCGCTGAAATATTCTTGCAATCTTGGCTTCAACTTTACTAAAAGAGATGCGGTAATGCGGTATCTAGTGTATATAAGATATCTATGCTCTGCACTGACAACGTTTTAATAATCTGTACTAATTACTATGTGGTCGCATAATTATAATTAGTTCAATGTTTGCTGACAGTTTTCCAAACCGATTTGACCAGTGGCGTAACGCTCATTAGGTAGGGTTAGTTCAAAAACTAAGGTCCCCGACAGTTAGGGGCCCCCATCAACCACGGCCTATTGCCCAGAAAATTAGAAAACGTAAAAAAATGCAGGTCAACGGAATCAATGGGAAAATACAAAATTAATAATGCTAAATAATAAAGCCTCCATCGACAACGGTAACTGATTTTGTTATTCCATCTCAAATAAAACAAACGTTATTCATAGTTGTGTTGGAGACTGTTGTTGTTATAGACACGGAATTTCCCAGACTATTCTATAAATATTCGATATAGCTACATATAATATTTCAGTCAAATAATGACAACAGTGAACAGGGGCCCCCACACCAAATACGCCTAAGGGCCCCCTCTTCCTCCGTTACGTCACTGGATTTGACATGTTCTTACAAACAATCAATCACATGCGAGGTTCAGATTCGGAACATTATGAAGTATGGAAGTGAGATTTATTTCGCTTCGCCGTTCTTCAAGAGCCTCTGGAACCAGGCTATACCAATGGTTTCAGTATGCTGATATAAGCATCTTTGTTATTGAACCTTTATTCCCTGGTAGTTACAAATGCAAGTGTACGAGGATGAGATTCGACTAGAGTTGTCTTGCAATTTTTGCTGCGATTTCTAGAGCGATTTCCTTCTTCTGCATGATGTAGGCGACGAAGAGAAGGAATTGTGAACGTTCAGATGAGGGTATACATTAGAGGTGTGCATCGGATCGGATTGGACGTTTATAATCCGACAATTGGCTAATATTTAAAATCCGATCTAATCCGAAATTGTCTAATCCGAATCCGAGCTTTGCTGGATAAAGAATTCCTATCCAATCCAAAGAATCTTTTAATAAAATGAATTTCTCATTCAAGTTGAAATATTTAACCAAATAAATATAAAAGTAAGAAATACATGTCAAGAAGCTGACAAAGTGACGTCCAATTGAAGCCACAAACGAATAATGCAGCGACAACAGCGATAATGCTTTGATAAATGCATGGATAATTAATTCTTGCGATAATGCGTGGATAATTAATTCATTTTATTTAGAATATCGAAGTCCGATCCGATCCGATCCGAATACGAAATAACTTTATCAATCCGATCCGATATGTATATTTTTGTTCCGAAATCCGAACGAATCCAATCGGATTGGATTCGGATCGAATTCGGATCGGATTTTCACACCTCTAGTGTTCATATTCTCAAAACATTCATAACTGATCTACTCGTTCTCATGCATCGTGTTAGCGTTGATCGAACTGCTTGTGCAACAAAATTTCAAACCAATGTTTTTTACCTCATTGAAAAGAAAATTGAAAACGACCAAATAAAATACTTTGCCAAACTAGCTCGGATTGTTTCTTTGTTTGAGATATTTAATAATGTTCGATATGCAAATTGAAATTCTTCTCACTAGAATGACCTCAAATTGCATAATGAATGGCTTTCTGAAAAAAAACTTTTATAACTCTAAAAGATGACCGATTCAAATTTGCCGACCTATAATATCTACATTTATAGTATATTGACATATGAACGGTTCTATTTATTACTTATTTACTGAGACCGAGGGAAACAGTGTGTTTTGTGGACTCGAGACCGCCGTTGTTGCCCGAGGCGAAGCCGAGGGCAACAACTGCGGTCGAGGGGCCACAAAACACACTGCTTTCCCGAGGTCTCAGTAAATAAGTGTTTTGTTATATAGTATATAAGTGTCAAAGTATGAATAATTCAACAGTTATTGGAGTGAACTTAATTTGAAACCAAAACTGGATAAATGGAACGCCGTAAATGTTTAGTAAAAAGTTTAAAAAATGAACTTTGGAACTTCATGGTTGACACGCATGCGTATTCAGCACCTATTTTATTATTGACCGGTCAATAAATGTTTCATTGCGGACCGTTTGCCGAACATGACGTCCTGTGGACCGGCACGTGACACGGTTTTGACCAATTGGCAAACAGAAAAATTGAACTTTGACACTAAGTATGTAACAAAATTTCGATATGTACCATACCCTCAAGATCTTAAAGATTTTCAATGTGACGTCATAGTGAGGTAACTGGCATATGAAAAAATTGTTAAATATCTCAAGAGCGAAGCAAGCGAAGACAAATGATTTAATTTGATCAATTTGAATATTCTATACAATACATGATCATAAAAAAAATGATGTGACATTTCGTTGCATAAGGAATTTCGTTGTAGCCGCGCGCGAAAGCATTTTGAGTGAGCTAATGGCCACGCGTGGTGAGGGCTAGGTCGGCTTTGTATACAGGCCGACCAATAAAGATAAAATAAACTTGGAATGAGATAAAAGGGCCCCACTGAAATTCAGGGTCCCACTGACTCACTCAATTAAATGCTTTCGTGCGCGGCTACAACGAAATTTCTTATGCAACGAAATGTCACATCCTTTTTTTATGATTGTTTTGTATAGAACATTCAAATTGATCAAATTAAATAATTTGTCTTCGCTTGCTTCGCTCTTGAGATACTTAACAATTTTTTCATATGCCAATTACCTCATTATGACGTCACATTGAAAATCTTTAAGATCTTGAAGGCATCGTGCAGATCGAAATTATAGAACCGTTCATATCGGTCAATATACTACAAATGTAGATATTATAGGTCGGCAAATTTTAATCGGTCATCTTTTAGAGTTATAAAATATATATTGTCTAATAATAATAATTCAACTGCGCTGTGTGGTGCGCGGTATTTCGGCAGGAAGTCGAACCGTCGAAGCCAATAATTACAAGACATGGATGCTTGCGCGCGCTTCATTAATTAAAAGAATGAAGCCTGAACTCGGAAGGCAAAATCTTCTTAAAAATGAACCCTATTACAAGAATTTTGTCCGTATTGCATGCATATAAAAAATTAAAATGTCTTGGCATAAGATAAAAGCTAAAAAGGAATGTTATTGCTAATGGCAGAATGCGCCGCTGCCGGCGGTCTTCGGCCGGATGTCTTTGTTAATATATAAAAAGTTAAAACATGTACATATTGATTGTTGGTCATGATCAGGCCATGAGTAAGCCTATTTGTTCTCCCGAAGCAGCGTCTTTCTTTATTGAAAATAATTGTCTCGTTTTGCCGCTGATAAAAGCGCACAGTATTATAGCCGATGAACAAACAGGCACAATGGTTGCTAATGCAGGAAATGGCATCGAGTCGATTTGACTCAACAACCCCAACGCGAACGAAAAGCTCAGCACGACGGCTACCACATACTTCGTGGACTTGAAAAAACTCTTGGAGAAGTTCACAACCAAAGCTCCGAGTAGAATATCGCCTGTCCCAAGGAAGACCTGAGTCGCGTTGCCAAATTTCATTGTAAAAACCGAAGGCAGTTCCCATTTATCGTGCATTCGAAATAAGTGGCAAATCAGAGTGTCGCATTTTTCAACCCCGACGCTGAAAAGCGATGGAGACAAGTTCGTGCTGCCTGCCAGAACACATACATCGTAGATAAATGCTGACCACATAAAAATTTGCAGCACAGCAAAGTTTTTAAACTGTATATCGCCAACCATAAGTGTAAATACAACTATAATGATATTATTGAGTATCCAGCGATAGGCAGTTCGGCCAGAGAAGAACCACAGAATGGATAACATTATTCCAAGTGGATAAGCAACTGCCGGTCTAAACCATCCGTCAAAAGCTATCATTATAAAGCCGACTACGGCCATATGTTGGATATAAACTATATAGGTCGGGTAATGCCTTAAAGCGACGACCAGCATCGCCATTAAAGCGAAATATGTGAAGTTTAAAAGAACATAGTGGCTCAAATGCATGCGAATTTCCTTACGTGCATAAGTACGAATTTCGTCCGTATCCTCGTAATCCGAGTTCTCGTCCAATTTCGACTCGATCTTCTTTGACTTTTGCCTTCTATCGCCAGCCAGCGCACTCACAAATATTAGACAGCTCGTAAAGGCGTCCATAAGCCAAAAATTATAGTTAAACATATTGAAATTCGCTGTTTGCCAGACCAACAGACACTGATTGAAAGTATCCCCGTCTTCTTCGTTTTGCTTCGATGTATTTGTTCCGAGGGTCAAACGCTTTCTTTGTCCGTGATTTTACTGACCGACTGCACTTAAATGATCTGGAACAATAGAATAACACCAAAGCATTGTGTGATTAAGCCAGCGACACAATACACGTGCTTGCCGATTAAACATTCAACGACAAACAGTCTTTGAACAAACCATGCAATATATATCAGAGAATGGTACTCGGTAGCCATGGTGCTTAAGTCGACAGCTGAGAATTGCCTAGAAACCTGTAAGATTTTACTGATATATTATTTCAAACTGAGAATGGAGTTTGAGTTGAATGTATAGGACTAATAAAGCATGTGAATTGCTGGTTGTCGCTTTGTTTTGAAACTAAACCATTCAAGCAAAACTGCATATTTAAGGTTGTTTATATAATAGAGTCAAAAGCTAACAAAGAGTTAAGAAAATATGCTGTTCAAACGTGGGGGTCGAATATGTATATAAGAACTGATGAAGTTTCTTCAATAAATTGTCGAAGTTTTGGTCCAAGCTTCCTGAAAAGATTAAAAAAAGTCCACTCGGAAGAGTCTTCACTTAAAATGCCTTAGTTTCCCCTTATCTTTTTCATGTAATTTGACCCCAAAAATATTCAAACTGCTGTTGAATTGCATGGGATTAAATACCTAGTCTAAACGCTTATGCTATCGAATTAATTTTCTTTGGTCAGATTAACAATATGTCAAAGGATAAACCTATATTAGATTAAGACATCGAGACATATGTCACAGGATAAACCTCAAAGCGAGTTGGGATTCGTTTCTATGTTATTCTGTCTAATGCCATTTTTGTTTCAAAGCTCAGTCCACGTTTCTCAACTTGTAAATTTCGGGTGGTTTCAATTGTGCTCTACCATGTGATCATTGCTGGTGTTTCTGGCGAATATTTTTTCTTAAATATTTAATATTTCTATCTCTAAAATTCATATTCCTACCATAAAAAATCCTAAAAAAACCTGTCGACGGGGAGAGGGGACAGGAATATTCTTTCTAATTTTTGTTAATTTCTGTTTCAATGTTATTTTATTGTTAATTCCTGTACCTACTTCGAACATCAATACTCATATTTCGAACATCAATATTCCTGCTATTCCTAACCCAAATATTCATGCATATTCCCAACACAATATTCTATTTACACTACTTCAAAAACCCAGTAATCAATATTCATCTGCCATGTCCAATATATCAGGGGCCGTTCTAATAAGGTGTGTCCCCCATGTACTAAAATGGACTGTTCGAAATATATCACTATAATATGTCATTTGTGGGGTCAATAGGTCAGGAAAAGGTGAACAGCAAGATTTGCTTGATAGATACAACTTGCTGAAGCAAACAGCAATTCCGTGGGATGGCACCCCCGGCAAAATTGTGAATTTCCAGGGTCTCTATATAGAACAGCATTATTATATCTGGAGGCTTTTGAGGCATCTGTCTATCGATATGGGGCATGTATGGAGAATATATATAAATATGTTTCACAAAAACCCCTATTTGAACTAGAACTGTGTTCAAACTTCAAAAAGAGCTATCAATATACTGCATGGTGCATAGAATACAAAACATATTTAATTTACATGCAGAGAGACTAGATTAAAAATTAGACTTTTACTAGTCGTAGTTGATCTGAATTTGTTAGGACATCCGGAAGCAATAGTTGGCTATATCAATGTTCACACGGATTTGTTTTCATGTTTTCACATGAAACTTGTTTATAATGAGCACTGACTTGAAAGTTCGGATAGCACGGCCATGTGGGTGGAAAAGACAGGCGAGCACGCGAGCACTGCTCGCAGAAAAATGTTAAACAGCTGCAGGAAATTCGTTTGAATGAAGATTTGCTATTGAAAATTTGAAGGAAACCTTAACACCCCATGTCCCATTATGGGCGCAACAACATATTGGTTGACAGACATTATTCCTTGAGTTATAATTAGAGGATACTTATGATTTATATGTGGTTTACAGGTATAAACTATTAAAAACTGGCCGTTGAGAAAGATCGTGACTCTATTTTTACGACCATTACGACCATATGGAAACCAGGCTCAAGTAGACAACTACGAAGGGCCTTCGCTCTATAAACGTCGAATTCCTCTTCGTATTCTACAGGTATCCCTACTAACGAAAGCTTGTTTATGTTGTCAAACACTATCTCAATTCCTTATGAACTTGCCATATCATAACTTTGATTGTATCAATAAAATAGATCGAGAACCTGCGAACAATACGACCTGTAGCAGAGCATGTGGACACAACGTGCACCGCAAAACAAAAGACCAGCTGTAACTATTTATATATTATAATTTATGCACCACATTAATTTCAACAGGTATATATATATATCGAGAGCATAGATATCTTATATAGACTAGATAGCGCATCTCTTTTAGTAAAATTGAAGCCAAGAATATTTCAGCGGTTACCCCCATTTAAATAGATGGCGCCAATGTTGGTGTTTCCCACTCGCTAATAAACGCTTAAAAACAACAATAACTTTCATCATTAGGTTTACCTTAATTTTTAATTCCGTGTTTAAGAAATAGAAAACATACGAATCGTCTCATTCCATGGGAATATCCTGAGTCTGCAATCACGGCTTCAATTTTGAATTGTAGAATAATTAGATGCACTATCTAGTGTATATAAGATATCTATGCTCGAGAAACGTGCCAACCTTTCATGAACTCGTCAGTTCCTCTCATAATATATTATGTTATTAACTTTTTGTGCATAAAAGGTTTACTCTCTCCCGTAAAGATCTTTGCCTGACAAGTTTGTCTGCATGAAACAAGTTGTTATCACCTTGATTAGGTTACAGACTTGTTACAAGTTGTTCAGGTTGGCCTATATAGCAACAATTTGCCGTGGTGCCATGTAACCGAAAAATATTATTATTAATTTTTTATAATATCATATTATATTATGTATAGCAGAAAGCTTTACCTGCCACGGCTGGGTTTGGCACCCGCGACCTTCGCGTTAATGTTAGCTCCTCAGGTGCATCTCCTCAGGAGCTAACATTAAAGCGAAAACGTTTGTGCAAAATTCGAGTGGCTTTTAATAGCCTTTTATTTTATTTTACGTTATAAATGTCTCTTTTGGTTGTACATTGAAACCTTTTTCTATATTACAACACTTGTATCTTGTTTCTATATATACAACACTTGTATTTTGTTATCAACAACATTTCACTAATATATATATATATATATATATATATATATATATATATATATATATATATATATATATATATATATATATATCGTCGTCCTTTGAAGGTCAACACTATACAACCGACCCCCAAGAGCGAAAAGCGTAATAGACGGTGATATTGTCTCTTTCTTAACTAGAGGGCATTCGGAGACTGTATACCCCCGCCAGCGAATTAAATCATCATGTATTATGCATAATTTTACAACGGGCTAATTATGCATTCAATTTTCATCCGAATTTAAGCAAAATTCAATCAATTTGTCCTTATAGTCCCACACATTTTTCATCATTAGTCCCTTGATGTTTTTTCAAGTTATCGTGCTCACAGATAAACACACACACACAATTGAATATACAAACGAACACACATACAATTGAACACACACAATTGAATATACAAACGCAGGTAAAAACATAACTGGCGGAGATATCAGTATAGGAAGCTTAAGATGCACCAAATCTGTGGACGCGGACGTGTCTAAAAAACATGATGCAGTCGCTAATAATGGGAGACTAGTATTTTTTTAAACTATTATATGTTTTATCGCCATGCAAACGTACAAAGAACTTATTAGTTTTACTTTGTTTTTCTCGTGTCCCTGGCTTTGTTTACCAACAACATATGGCCTCGCGCAAGGACGCGAAAAACTCTAAAAATCTTGTGTTTTGTCATAATGTGTTGAAGATTACCACAAACTGACACAAATACAGTTTTCAATCCAGTCCCCGCTCGGTAATCTGACTTCCGTGTCGACAAAAAATAACGCCGTGTTTGAGAAACTGGAAGATTTTCTGATTTGGACATGAATTTCTGGACAATAACTATTTGTTGAAAAGCAAATAGTATCTGACTTGAATAAAAAGATAACTAAGCAGTTCGGAGTTTTTAAAAATGTACTCCTAACAGCCGTTGCTATGGCAACAACGACTTTCAATATGGCGGATACTTTTGGCTTAAAGTAATTTAGTTCGAAAATAAGGTCGTTTATTTCATGGCATGATTTCTTTTAGTACTTTGAATCATTTTCGTGATTTGAAAGAAATTCTGTCCTGCCAAAATTTTTCGAGATCGGAATGTAATAATTCGTAACAATTTTTTTTTCGGATGAGATAATTTTTTAAAAATCATAACAATGACTCACAATACTAAAAACGAATTCTTTCATGAAATAAAAAAGGGAGTAACCCACCTTATTTTCAAAGTTAAATAACCTTAAACCCAAAATATCGGC